TTTTTTTTAAATTGTGCTTTAGGTGAAAGTTTCCAAATTATTCTCTCATTCAAAAATTTATACAAAAATTGTTTCATGATATTGGCTGCAATCCCTGCAATGTGTCATCTCTCTCCTCCTTTCCATCCCATGTTCTCTGTTTCTATTCTTGCAGTTTTCCTGTCCCTTATTACCTTCTCGTCTTTGCTTTTGGGCAGTTGCCCATTTGGTCTTGTATACTTGATTAAGAAGCATGTTCCTCACGGGTGTTGTTTGCTTTATGTTGTCATTGTGGTTCTGTGCTACTGAGTTGATTCCAATACACAGCGATCCTATAGGACAGAGTAGAACTGCCCCACAGGGTTTCCAAAGAAGGGCTGGTGGATTTGAACTGCCGATCTTTTGGTTAGCAGCCTCAGCTCTTAACCACTTCACCACCAGGGCTCCGTTTGTTTTATAGGCCTGTCTGATCTTCGGCTGGAAGGTGAACTTCGGGGGTGGCTTCAGTTCTGAGTCAGAGTGGTGTCTGGGGTCCACAGGCTCAGGGGTTCCTCTAGTCTCTGTCAGACCAGTAAGTCTGGTCTTTTTTGTGAATCTGAATTTTGTTCTACATTTTTCTCCCACTCTGTCTGGGACCCTCTATTGTGATCCCTGTCAGAGCAGTTGGTGGCGGTAGCCAGGCACCATATAGTTTCTCTGAGCTCAGGCTGGTGGAGGCTGTGGTTCATGTGGTCCTTTGGGCTAATTATCTTCCTTGTGTCTCTGGTTTTCTTCATTCTCCTTTGCTCCAGACTGGATGGGACCAATAGATGTATCTTAGATGGCTGCTGGCAAGCTTTTAAGACCCCAGATGCTACTCACCAAAGTAGGATGTAGAATATTTTCTTTACGAACGATGTTATGCCAATTGACCTAGATGTCCCCCGAGACCATGGCCCCCAGCCCTCAATCCCAGTAATTCGCTCCCTCAAGATGTTTGGATGTATCTAGGAAGCTTCTATGACTGTGCCCCCTTTGTGCTCTATTATATATATATATACACTGTATATACAAATATGTATGTAAAAATATCCACAACCTAACCTATGTATGTACATGGGTATACTCCTATATGCCCTCCTTCCCCTATTCAGCATACGTATCTGCCTGTGTATCTGCTTGTAAGTTTTTTATTTATTTTTTCTGTTGTTGTAGGGTTGTATATACTATAGTACTTACTATGGTTGCTTTTCTTTTTTTTTTCCTTGAGATTTTTGAAGGCTGTGATCTTTGGAAGCAGATCACCAAGCCTATCTTCAGAGGCACCTCTGGGTGGGTTCAAACCACCAATCTTTTGGCTAGCAGTTGAGTGCCATAACCATTTGTGTCACCCAGGGACTCCTGTTAACATGTAGTAGAACGCTGTTGGACTGCTGGAGTCCCTGGGTAGCGCAAACAGTTAAGTGCTGAAAGGCTGGCAGTTCAAACCTACTTAGAGATGCCTCTAAAGACAGGCCTGAAGATCTGCTTCCAAAAGGTCACAGCCTTGAAAACCTAATGGAGCAGCTCTACTCTGCACACATGGGGTTGCCATAAGTTGGAACTGGCTTGATGGCAACTAACAACAACCACGAACCTTTTACTACAAGGCTCATTATTTCATGCATTTGGTCAAACTGTAAGATAAATTCTATTTCCTTAAAGGTAATCACTATACGGGAAACAACACATAAACCTACACTGATAGTTTCTAAAGCCACTGCTAATCCTGTCCTGAACCCTCAAACTCAAAGAGGTTTCATTGTGGAATGAAAACAGTGAATTCTGTTAGCCCAATGTTTAGTTCTCATTCTAGTAAATAATGTCAAATTCTGCTGTTTCAGATTTTCTGAGAAAATAACGTGTCTATTCGCTATGCCCTTGTTTATAGAAGCACACTTGTACAAGTCAGACCCTGGGTCCTGATGCTCAGGAGACCCAGGTTCCTGGAGAGCTATGTGACCCATCAAGGATCAGAGATGCATCTTGATATACCACCCTAAACCCCTGGCTCCCAGGAGGGTGGAAAATATGAGGACAATGGCACTGCTGGCTCCTTTCCTGCTCAGACCAAACTGCACCTACATGTGCTTCTGTAGTCACACACAGACTAGGTTTATAAACAATGTACTTTCATCTGTGTGTGTTTGTGTGTTGTATATGCCTACATGTAACAGAACGTACTGCATGTCCATAGCTGGAAAGGTGCATGTGATTGCACAGGTTGTACCCTGTACGAGTGTGTCTGGCCCAGAGTACCATGGGGGCTAAAATTGAGCCCATATTCTTCTGCCAAGCCTTACGCCCTGAGATGGTGCTGCATCTTCCTAGAAGAAGAGGCATCTTTTTCTAACTCTGCTCACCAACCCATGCACCCTGACACAGGGCCAATTCTGCCCAGAGGGCGGATTCCATAAAGGCTCCATATGAACAGAAGCAAGGTATGCTGGCCCTTAAGCAGTTGTCTCTCAGCTCCAAATCTACCCTTCTAGGCTCTTCTGTGTGATGTTGAGAAGGAGCTCTGCAAACTACATTCTCCCTCTGCCAGCCGCTCCCTGTGAGTCTCTATCAATAGGAACACTTGGAGGAGACTGGCAGGCAGGAGAAGGAAATAGAGGCTTGACCTAGCCTGTTTGCTTCCTGTTCCTGCCAGGGTCACCCCCGCCATGTGCTTTCACCTTAGCATCAACGGTTGATTCCAGTCCACCCCCTTTCTGTCACTCTCAGAAACAGCCACAGCATGCCCTCCTCAGAGACACCAGCCAAGGCTCCTTCTCAGAGTTTTCAATGACAATTTTGCAGTTTCTTCTCCAAGCTTCCAGTTTCTAATCACCCCAACCTCTTCCCTTTGTCCCCCTGCCCTAAGGGTGGTAGCACAATTCCCTGCAGTTATTATCTTTATGTCTCCTCAATGGCTACTTTCTGCCTTTCCGGTCCTCCAATGCCTGTTTAACCAATTCCCTATATTAAAATCTTGTTGCTGGGGGAAAAAAAAAACTGCTGTTTCTCAAAAAGATAAAAAAACACTAAACTACTGATTAGGAATGATGGAAAAGAAATGGTAAGAAGGGTTCTGAAGGAAGACTGAATTTGAGCGAAGAAATGTTAAAAAATGTTAAAATGTCATGCAACAAAGGACAGTTAGTCCACAAAAGGAATAGTAATCACCCCCTCAGCTCAATAAAAAAGAAAGAGAAAAAAGAAAGGAGATAAAATGCATTAGATAAAAATCTTCTAACTTTTGTAGTGTAGAAAGAGACCTCTCTTTGCAGAGGGCATCATGGAATAAATCCTGAACCTAGTTATAACCTGGATTCCTATTCTAGAATATCTCTTCAAAGTATTAAAATGATTGACAGCATATTCAAGAACTTTTTCTTTTATGTAAGGCCAAGATGTACTGAAACACATATGTAGCAAAATAGAGTGTTTATTTAGCAGTTTAAAATACTGATAATTAAGAGCATAAAAATCATCTTACATTTTGGGGCCACAAAAAGCTCACTTGGTTTGAGATATGTTCATTTTAAGAATTCAAGACTACAGAAAGAGCGAAAGAATGAGAGAAACAAAGAAAAAAAGAAAGAAAAAGGAAAAAAGGACAATCTTCCCTAAATGATGCACACAAGATCTTACAGAAGCTTCTCTCAGTATGGAAGCCAAAGAGTTGGATAGAACTCTTCATGAGGTGAGCATGAGTTCTGTCATCATATTGCTTAAATGATATCCCACTCTCATTTACTTTAGAGGAGGCTTTAAAATTAGAGTAGATAATAGGGGGAGGAGAAAGAGTGAAAAAATTATGCATATTAGTTACTTTTATTTGCTTCATCCATACTCATTTATTGTTAGATCACTTGACTCAATGGAAAAGAAACAGTGGCAGCTTTTTATGTTATAGTAAGAAAGAAATTATACAGCATTAGGGACATGGGGAATATGCTTTAACCAGTTCTATAACCCAAGTTAATGCAAGTGGCTTTATTACATATTAAGTATTCAACGAATTTCATTTTTTAATACTGTTAAGTATTCACGCAGAAAGAGACCTGGGAACTGTTCATATGGCACAGATAAGATTAGAGACTGATAATACTTTCTATTCAACTTGAATGATTAGAAGTATTAAAGGTACTGAAAATAGTTTACCATGTGAGATTCTAAAACACCATAGATAAAAAAAGCAAATTTAATGAAAAGGCAATAAACTGATTTTAAATTTGTCTACTTAAATTTTTATTTGCATCGGATGGTTTAATTATAATTTTTAGCCATAGGATTAAGGAAAACATAATAATATTATATATCAATACAAAATAACTTATTTTCAGAAAATATTTTCTATACTGTAATCTAACATTCAATTTTTATGAAATCATCAAAATAACATTTGTAGATAATAAATGATGATGGGGGAAATGCTCACATAATGTTTATAGAAAAATACAAATACAAAAATTACATATACAGTATGAGCTCAACTACATAAAAATGCTTAGAAATAACAGAAGGAAATATATTGAAAAATTAACAGTGGTTATCTGAGTGGAAGCATTACGAGCAACTTTTATCTTCCTCTTCATATTGTCTCTCTCTCTCTCTCCCTCTCTCTCTATATAACTATTTTTAATATATACGTAAGTATGTATATAAATATTTAAATATATATATATATACACATATACACACACACACACAGAGCCTTGGTGGTGTAGTGGTTAAGAGTTCAGCTGCTAACCAAAAGGTTGGCAGTTTGAATCCACCAGCTGCTCCTTAGAAGCCCTATAGGGCAGTTCTACTCTGTCCTATAGGGTTGCTGTAAGTCGGAATTGACTTGACCGCAACGGGTTTGGTATATATACACACATACACATACATATATATATAGTACTTTAAGGAAAGCTTCAGAAGAACATGTGTTAAAGATTAAGCCTGCCTAAAGAAACCTAAAACTAATTTCTAGAATGGGTCTAAGTAAAATATATTAATACAAACACACTTACCATCACATGAAAGGGAAACATAACTTCCTAAGTCATCAGACATATGTCGCATCACATTTCTACCCATCTTAAGACCAAGGAAGATCCAATAATCTACTGCTGCTCCAAGAATTCCAGTCAATAAGTAAGCTAGTTCATGTTTGAAGACCTAACATTAAGATTGGAAAAATATTATTAAAATAAATTATTTCTATGTGTGTTTGTTTTGAATACCTGTTGAGAGAGAAAACTTAGCTATTTAAACATACAGGGTATGCTAACACTAAAAGGTATGGTTAAGGGTTCTAGCAAACTAATTCACATTCTATTTTCTTCTTGTGCACATGTGCACACTAGCAGTATCTCTCTCTCCCTCTACATACACACACACACAATAAAACAGTTAATAAAAAAAATTTCCGGGGACTTCTATATAGATAGCCTAGATAGAACTTGTACAGTAATTTTATCCAGTGGTGTCAAGTGCTTTAGTCAGACAATAATTCCATTAAAACAATTAGGAAATACTTGGCTTCTGTGGATTTTTGTTAATAGGAACAAACGGATATAAAAGAAGATAGATTTAGTCACCTCTGCTGTTGATGAATATAGAATAAAACTTTACATTTCTCTAAATGGGCACTTTCCTGAAAAAGACTTGAAAAACACAATGAATAAAAGTTTTAGCAAATAAGACTGTCCATTTGTTATAAAGAAGTAGACTGACTCAAATCTTAAGTAGACAAATACTTGTTACCTAACCCAGAGCTATATAGAGACCACAGTTTAAAATGATATGAATATTGTTTAATGTTATCACTTCTATAATAAATATTATTAAATTCCTATAAGAACTAGCAACAACAACAACAAAAAACCAAACCCATTGACATCAAGCCAATTCCAACTCCTAGCAACCCTACAGGACAGAGTAGAACTGCCCCATATGGTTTCCAAAGCCGTAAACTTTTACAGAAGCAGCCTGCCACATCTTTCTTCTGTGGAATAGCCGGTAGGTTCAAACCATCGACCTTCTGGTTATCAGCCAAGCGCTTAACCACTGCACACTAGGGCTCCTTACAAGAACCATAGCAAGGCATAAAAACCTTGCTTACAATAAGTGTGTTTCACCCTAACATTTAAAAACATTTTTGTAATCTATAAAATTCAGTATAAAGATGAAGAGGTGTGAAAATAATATTTCAAAACACCTTTGATTTAAATGTAAACATTTTTTCACAATAACATTAAAGCTAGTTGAAATTCTTATATTTTTGGTATTTGTTGTCCAGGCGTGCTGGATGCGTGAAAAAATCACTCAACAGTTGGGTAGAAGGCATGTGAAAGGGTTTTAACAAACGTTATGTGAATAGATTATAATTGCTACGTTCTGCCATTACTATGCCCAATATGGGATTAGTGACAGAGGAATCCCTGGCATTTTGAACTCTCAGTAACTACTGGATTTGTTTCACTTGCCCTCAGCAGAAAAGGTTCTTTTGTATAGACAGAGTATTTCATTAGTACATCATTCCTTATAATAAAAAGCTATTGGTAAAATGATTTTAAAATTGAAGTTCTGATGTGTGGTTTGTTGTGCAAACAAGGGCCAATGGTCAAACAGCATATACATCAGAGCTACTGAAGAAGTGTTTATCGAGTGAAAACCCAGAGTCAGGGTCAGTAGCAGGTATGAAGCCCCATCACACTCTGGGGCAGCAAACTGCAATCTGGCAGGGCTAGGATTTAGGTTCTGGGAGACAGACCCCGAAGTGCTAGGCTGAGGGGATTTTAAGCTGTCAGTCTAGCGAAGCACTCCCCTTCCTCTGATATGCCAAAGAGCCATGATACAGAGCCTGGACTACAGCCTGATCCTGCCAGATCAGGATTCATGGGTGGACATCAGTACTGTTCCCTCTCCAACCTTGATTAGAATTTAAACCTTGCAGCTGTAGCTGTATGACATGGGAAACTAGAAGCAGGACTGAACATATCAGCAGGCTGGGAAAGCACCAATGCCTCCCACGGCATGATCTAGGGGGCTGGGAATCAAGTCTTGCAGTTGACCAGAATTGACTCCCTTAAATACCAAAGAACTTTTCAGGAAGTTAACTCCCTTCTTTGTGAGGCCAACTTGTAAATGATCAGTCTGTGAAGTTAAATCAAAGTCCCTGGACTGTCATAGTCATGGTTCAATATATCAAGGGAACATAAAACAGGACAGTGAAAATATATATTTAAACCTGCAAATTTTGATCAGGTCCATATGCACGCCACAGATTGCTCCTTCCAAAGTAACATATATATAAATATCAGCAATGACACTACCCAGGAAGGAAACATGAGACTGGTAAATTCTGATTTCTGAAAGTATTCCCCATTTCAAGGATACAGTAAATTTGGGTCCACTCAGACCCCAGGTCCTAAGACTCTTGGTAGGGAAGAAAGATGTTAGCACATAGAGCTAAGCTTCATATAAAACCACAATCTAGCACACCATCAATTAAAAATAAAACTAATCAGTTGGAACTTTTCCTCTTTCTTTACACAAATGTATATACACATGTATCTGACACTATAGTTGAATATTAATATTGCTTAATATTCAATTTGCCTTGCTATTACTCTTATTGAACAGGTAGAGAGGGACAGGAAGTCTTGCAGTGCTTGCTAGGAATAGGAATAACTATAGCTTCTTCACCATAAGAAAGGACCTGCAAAGTTATACTTATCCATGAGCAATTAGGTAAACATGCACACTACCACATATTCACATAACCATAATAGGAAATTTTTATATAAAAAGACACTTTCAAATTGGGTTCTTGGATTATATTATATTTTTAACTATGACACTCACTATAACCATAGGGCCGAAACAATGTGCTATAGATTATATTTACTGCAAGCAACTTTAACAAGTATAAAACAATGCTACAATCTTTAGCATAGTGGATATATATGCTTTAGAATGGATTGGTAAGAAAATAGCAAATAAACCATCAAGGGAGAAAAACTTTCTTGGATAACTGAAATGTTTGTTAAAGCTGAAAGAACGAAACATGAATACCCTAAGGATTAATTAAGAAATAAAAGGCAGACATGATTTACATGTATACCATATAATGCCTTCCTATTAGAACTCTTTTCTAATATGTTAAACTCTATAATCAGGCATTCTGTCAATACAGTTCTTTATTATCTGCCAGTACAGGTAATCTCCAGTTTATAAACTTTGTGATCTTCCAAAAACTGACTAATATGTCATGTAGAATACACTAGAGTCTTGGCTTTCTAACTCCCAGGTTAGAGCTTTTCCACAATATCCAACTGCAATAGATGACAACTGCTCTAGTACTTTTATCGGAAAGATGCAAACATAATGCATGTAGTATGCCTCTTCCCTATTTTAAATACTGGCATTTGAAACATAAGAACAGTGTGTTACAGTGGAGATGTGGGCTCTAGTCAAGGCTTCGCCCTAACAAGCTCTGACACCTTGAATAAGTTAAACTCTTTAGCCTCAATTTCCTTCTCTTTAAATATAAACTAGCTTCCATTTCTATCTCTAATTGCAGAGTTATCCTTTTATAGCACTTCAGTATATCCCCCCAAAAGTGGGACTTACCACCAAGCTTAGAAAAATTTGCACCTCCTCCATAACCCTGACACAGCCCACCTCTGCCTTTGGAAAGCCCAAAGCTTTCTCAGATTAATGACAATGAAACTCACTGCCATTGTGTCACTCTGCAATACTTGTTGATTGACATTATGACAAAACAATATTAGCATAAACTGAGGACTTCTGTTTAGCTAATGACTTAAATTGAATGCTTCAACTCAGCAAATCAAGAAACAAATGCTTTACAGTACGGAAAATGATGTCTGTGAACATGCACGGAATTCTTGAAATTGGAAACTGCCAAAAAGATTTAATTAACTACAAGAATGAATTCTAACAGATAAGTAACATAACAAAAAGGAAACCAGTTTATATGATTTAAACAATTCAAATCTTAAACAGTATATTAATTTGCAAAGTTTAAAGCCAGTTCTCATATTACAACTAATGCTACAACTTGTTGGAGACTGCTTCACAGATATGTTGCTTTTATTTATAAATTTGAATAAAAATGTTCAAGTTAAACATGAATAAATCTGTTACTATTTACATCAGTATTTCCTGAGTAATTTCTAATATGTGGTAGTCCTTTGATGATTTAGTAAAATTGTGAAGTAGTCAGTTTTACTGTTTTCAGCAACATATGAGCAATTTCATTTACGTAATTAAATGGATTAAAAAAAAAGTTCCATAATGAAGAAGTATTTTCTCTCCTTAATGATTCTATTGTGTAAAAAGTAAATAAAAAGTCAGATAGTAATTTATAAGGATGCTGTGAGCTTTAGCTAAAAAGTACTATACTCAACTCGCAATGAGGTATAGGCAGCTCTCTGTTGAATATTTTCAATTCCCACATATTTGCACATCATACTTCTTTTTAAACTAGACACATGTACAACCAGCCACCCTGGTAATGGTCACATAATAAGATTAATCAAAAAGAAATCTAGCTACACTGAGGCATAGTCTACCCTTTTTAATGGCTGTTTGTTTTTTTTTTAAATTAAAGCTCTCAAAATACTTTCATTTTTCTAAGCATGCCTCAGACCCCCTTTAAGTAGAATTTTAAAAAATCAGTAAGGACTCCTGTTTCTGATAATGAAGGCTTAGGTAATTCAGATGAATCCTTTTAAAGAAGAAAACAAAATACTGGACGCAATATGCAAAATATCTTCCAAAAAGGCACCAAAGATACAACGAGGGCGTACCAGGCCAAAATCTAGGAGAAAGTACAAGGAAAGTGAAGCATTCAAAGCTAGCTGACTTTGTCTTGAGGACATCTACTGATGCCATAGAAAGGGCAGAAATATGGAACTGTGGTTTCTGGAGCCGAGGGGAGAAGAGGTATGAAAGTCATAGCCCAGGACCTAAACTGTGATCAGCTGAGACCCTGAAAGACTTCACCCCCAGTGTAAAGGTGAATTAGAAACAAAACTACATACATTTATAACCCTTCACTTCACTTGTGGACTACCCAAGAACTCTGAAACCTAAACACTGGATGAAGATAGTCCTTGACTGATAGCACATCCAGGCATCTAACAGAAACAAACGGAAATTCTCTCTGGAGAAAGACATTCCGGTCTTTGCCATAAATGGTTTCTACAAATAATTTTTCAAATGAAATGTCCACATGATATCACAACAATACAGCAAACTATAGCTAGTAAACAATACAGCAAATGATAGACAGTTTGCAAGACAAAAAAGACACAAGAGAAAGTAACAGAAACAGATCCACTAAGATTTAAGATATAAAATAATCAGATATAGACTATAAAATAGCTATTATTGCCATACTCAAGGACAAAAGAAAACCTTGAACATTTGGTGGGGAACTGGAAACTATAAAAGTCACAGTAGTATGGAAATAAAAAAAGACTAGAACTGGAAAAGAAATACTAAAATTAAGAATGTAATGGTCATGTTTAACAACAGATTAGACACAGCTGAAAAGTGAACTGGTGAATTGGATGAAAGACTATCTAGATGATGCAAGGAAAAAAAAAAAGGAAAATATAGATGAGAAGGTAAAAAAACAGAAGATATGAAGAGTAGGTGTAACATCAGTTTAAGCAGAATTTAAAAACTAAGGGAGAGTAAACAGATCAAGGAAATATTTGAAGAGAAACTAAATAAGAATCTTCCTTAAGATAGACTTTATAACAGTTTGATGCCAGAGCTCCCAACTTTAATTACTATGCTTACTGCCCCACAAAGAAAACATTACCTAGCTATCAGCTATGGCATCATGACCAGTAAGTATGATAATATATCAGTTATACAAAACAAAACGGCATCACAATATACATAGCAGAAACTTTAAGGAAATAAATAAATAAACAAACAAACAAATCCCCAAGGTAGATTCAGAAAAGTTGATTAAAACAATTAAGCTTGATCTAATAGGTGATAGAGACATGGCAAACAACAAAGGAAACACATTTTGGCCACTAATTTTATATAGGGACAATAAATTTTCAAAGCAGAAATCATACAGTATATTCTTTAACTTTGATTCATTATTAGAAATTAATAACAACAAAATCATAGCCAAACAAACAAAACCCATTAACAACAACACAAACCCATCCATTTAGAAAGTTTAGAACACCATTTAAAAATATCTCTTGATCAAAGGTGAAATAAAAATTGTCAATAGAGAACATTTTTAAATAAACAATGAGAGCAACCTTGAACAAAGTATGAAAATCTATGGGATGAATCTCAAGTTGAACTCAAAAGGTAATTTACATTAAATGCATGTATTAGAAATAAAGAGTGAAAAGAAAAAAACCAAACATCCAAGAAAGTAGAGAATTAAGAAAACAACAGCAGAAATTAATGAGCTATGACAAAAAAGTAGACAATATAGCCCCAAAGGCAGATAATTTTGCAAAGGAGAAAGGTGACTATTAGTATCTTAATATAACAAATTATTACAAACTGAGTGGCTTAAAACAACAAAAATGTACCCTCTCATAGTTCTGGAGGCTGGAAGTCTGAAATCAAGGTGCTAGCAGGGTCATGCTTTCTATGATGGCTCTAGGAGAGAATCTGCTCTATGCTTTTCTCATAGCTTCTGGTATTGCTGGCAATCCTTGATACTCCCTGCCTTGCAGAAGCATCATTCCAATCTTTGCCCCTGCGTCACATGGTGCTCTTCCTATGCGTGCCCAAATTTCCCTCATCTTATAAGAACGCCAGTCATTTGATTAGGTTCACCCTTATCCGGTATCACCTCATTTTAAATTGATTATAATCGGCAAAGAACCTATATCCAGATAAGGTCACATTCACAGGTATTAGGGATTAGGACTTCAACATATTTTTTTTGGAGACACAATTCAACCCCCAACAGTCTACTCTTTGGTACCCAAAAAGTCATGTCCTTCCTATGTACAACAAACATTCACCCCATCCCAATATACCCAAAAGTCTCAACTCATTCCAATATGAACTCTAAATCTAAAAATCTCATCTTCTAAATCATCTAAATTAAGTACGGATAAGACTCTGGGTTCATCCTGGGACAAAATTCCTCTCCATTTGTGGACCTGTGGAACCTAAAAAACATGTTATCTACTTCCAAAACATAATGGTAGGACAGGCATAGAATAGATATTCCTATTCCAAAAGGGAAAAAGGGTCACAGGCCTCAAGCAAATTGAAATCCCAGTGGGGCAAATTCCATTAGGTTTCAAGGCCTGAAAATAATCCTTTGTGGCTCAATGTTGTCTTCTGGGCCTCCTGGGATGGCACCCGGTCCTCTCGACCCAAGGTGTGGCCTCACCCTCTCTAGCCTTTGCATCTGAGGCTCTGCCCTTGGAGTCATTCTTCCTTCATTTCTTCCTGTCTCTGTCCCTTTCTTACTGCTGGTAAACGAAATTCTCAAAAACCTTTTCGTCTGTGATGTTGAGGGGATTCACACCATTAGACATGAGGGTTCGCCCCAGATCCTTCCTGGATAACCTCATCTTAATTCCTGGCTTCTGCTGAGATGGCTGATTGAATCCATAAGTCAGATGCCTACTTTTCTTAGCAAATGGTTGTTCAGCCACATCCCTGGCCGTTTCCAGAGCTCACTACCTAGATAGACTAAGAATACTACAAATCATCAACTGCTGGTTTCTTTTTGCTTGCCAATTCATTCTTCAGTTTCTTTCTTTCCTCTTGCATTTTATTGCAAGCAACAAGGAGAAACCAGGCTACACCCTCCACACTCTGCTTAGAAATCTCAGTTAAATATCCAAGTTTATCACTTATAAGTTCTACTTCCCACCCTACAGAAGAATTCAATTCAGCCAAGTTGTTTGCCACTTTATAACAAGGATCACCTTTCCCCCAGTTTCCAATAACATGTTTCTTATTTCTATCTTGATACCAGAATCACCCTAACATTCCTATTTCTAGCAACATACTCTTCTTCATGACAATATAGCAATCTCCTAGACAACAGAGGTTTTCTTTACAGCAATCCTCACTTCTTTTGCAGCCCTCACCAGAATCACCTTTAGCAACTATATTTCTACCAACAGTCTCTTCAAGGCAATCGAGGCTTTTTCTATCACATACCTCAAAACTCTTCTAGCACTTTACCCATCACCCAATTCTAAAACCACTTCTATATTTTTCGGTATTTGTTATAGAAACACCTTACTCCCAGTAACAAAATCTATTTGTTTCCTAGGGCTGATATAGGAAGTTACTACAGAGTGGCTTAAAACAACAGACATCAATTCTCTCACAGTTCTGGAGGCTAGAAATCTGAAATCAAGGCATCGGCAGGGCCATGCTCTCTCTGAAGGCTCTGGAGAAGGAGAAACTGCTCCATGCCTTTCTCTTAGCTTCTGGTGTTGCGGTCCATCCTTAGCCCGCAGAAGCATCATTCCAATCTTTGGCCCTGCCATTACATAATATTCTCTCTATGTGTCTAAGTCCAAATTTCCCTCATCTTATAAGGACACTAGTCATTTGATTAAGGTCCAGCCTAACCCAGTATGACTTCATCTTTACTTAATTACATCTGCAAAGACCCTATTTCAAAATACGGTCACGTTCACAAGTACTGGGGGTTGAGACTCCAACATATCTTTTTAGGGGATACAACCCACAAAAGTGACTACTATTTATTACGCATCCAATGTGTGCGTGCATGTTGCTATGTACTTTACATTTTTACTACATTTAATTCAGTCAACTACCCTTCAGATAGATAACACACTAAAATCACTGCATATTAGATTTCTAATAACAGGCCAAAGGTACTTACGAAGAAACATTTCAGGAAATAACTTTTAACATCCAGAAAGGCATTTTCAAAAATAAGTAGTATTTCTTTTCAGTAGAACACAAAAAATTTTAAGGATTGACTCAAGTTCGTTTATCACAGGGTCGTTATGAATTGAAATGTACAAAAGTAAAAAAAAATCTAGAATGGTAACTGTACATTTCTTTGCTGTCATTCACTAATAATCAAATAACTGCCTATTATAAAGCTGAGGGGATAAAGGCATTAGTCACAATAAAACTAAAGAAGTTTATAAATATATATATATTTGGGTGCATTTTAATTTTCTTCAAGTAACTCAAAGAATAAAGGGAACAGGAAAAGATGAATACTTCAAAGTACTTTTTCCACAGGCCAATATTTATTTGTAAATTAATCCCACTTACATCATTAGATTTGTACTTTTCCTTGTGAGAATATATAGTCCACTCCAAAAGCATATTTACTGGTTTGGTCAAAAGTGCAGAGGTCTCACTTCCTGACCAAAAGAGTTCAAGAAGAATTGCCTTTCCTGTAATTTTCAGACTCTGAGAATCTGACCAGTCATACAACCTAATTAAAATATGAACAAAAAGCATGTCAATTTGATTACCTAATATCAATTTGATTACTGCATTTACTAAACATATTATCTTTTGTCAAAAAACAACAAAAAAGTTAGCATTTTTGAACACAGAAAGTTCATAATATTAAAAAATTATAAGATATACTAAAAGACAAAGTATGACAAAATGATCTCAGTACAATAAAATCAACAACATTGTACACACAATAATCTATCCACAAGTTTTAGAATATAAGTAAAACTTACCGTGGGCATTAGAAAAGCTGTATTAAAATCTAGTGAGATTTTAACTTAAACACTCAATTACTAAAGAATTAAAAAAATATAAATCTTGAGGTATGGAAACACTTTTACCTATCCAAATATATAACTCAAAGAAAAATAAAAATGTGAACTGAGGAAACAGAAAACGAGTAAATGTTACTGCCACTGAAGGACAGTGTTCAGAAATATGTTTCTAAAATAAGAAATCTACTTTAAAATAAAAAGGTGATATTTTAGAAGTATGCATATATATGATTAGAAAAATGGTGTACAAGAACAATGGAAATATACAAAAATGTTATTTTTAATGATTAAAACTTACTTTTGAGTCAGGTGCCGAACCTCACTTTCAACTAAATTAAAGAAAAATTTAAGCAGTGTCAGGTGGAGCACTTTAGAACCAATAATATTTTCGGAAATTTGGTGACAAAAATTTTCATTGAAAAGACAAGACCTGAAAAACATGAAACCAACAATCTATAACGTACAAGCAATTCATTAAGTAATTTGTGGACAAAGTATTTTTTAATTAATTAGTAATCTATTTTCTTCCTTTAAAAAGTAAACCATGTCAAATACCTATTATTACTTAATTATTAATAATGCAGACGTAATTTCTTTATTTTTCAATGACTAATGTTTAACAACCATCTGGTATTCTCCAATTGTAGTCTTTAATTTGCTGATAAAAAACAGATTTATTCATTTCATTTATTTCTTTTGACTGAGATGACCAGATAATGCTTTCAATTTACAATACTCTTCACAATCCTCTGCCTACACAAGATTATTCTTTTTCATTATTTTAGTAAATTAATGTCATTTAGGGCTATTTAGAGCTTTTAAAATTCAGTATTTTCTTTTCTTTTCATCTTCTATAGCAGTACTGTCCAATTGAACTTTCCGTGATGATGGAAATGTTCTATTGGACACTAAAATGTGGCTAGTGAAACTGAGAAGGAGCCCTGGTGATGCAGTGGTTAAGCGCTTGGCTGCTAACCAATAGTTGGGTGGTTTGAACCCACCTGCTGCTCCGTGGAAGAAAGAGGTGGCAGTCTGCATCCATAACGATTACAGCCTTGTAAACCCAATGGGGCAGTTCTACTCTGTCCTGTAGGGTCACTATGAGTCAGAATCAACTTGGTGGCAATGGGTTCAGTGTAACTGAGGGCCTGAATTTTAAATTATTTAATCTTAATTAATTTTAGTTTAAATAGCCACATGTAGCTAGTGCCTACTGTGTTGTACAGTACATTTCTATACTATTTTTTAAAGAGAACATAAGCTTACCAGAACTCTAGGACTTAGAGCAAAAGTCTAGGCAATTACATTTATTATAATCTTCTCCCAACTTTCTTATCAATTGTATCAACAATGTATTGTAACTTTCTATCTTTGCTTCCACCTTCCCTGCCCCCTCTTGGATACCATATGAGAGTCTTTAACGGCTATTAAATCTAACAATTCGTTTAATACTTCAATCTGTTCTATAACATCCACCACCCCCATATAGTTATTCAGTATATATGACAACTAGCAAAGATGGATAACACAGTATCTCTCCTTTTTTTAAAAAAACTTTATTATAGAATATTTCAAATATATACAAAAGTAGAAAGACTAATATCATCCAACTTCAACAACAGCCATCTCATACCTAATTTTGCTTCATCTATACCCCTATCACTTCCCTAGGCACCCTCCCCCTTCTCACCAGTCCAATTATTTTGAAACAAAATCTGGGTACTTCTGTTTATTAAAAAGTTTACTTTTTAAGCTGCCCAAATTCTATCTCCTTGCAGCATGAATTAATTCACCCAAACATTTATTAAGTACCTATTATGTTCTGTGGAACCCTGGTGGCGCAGTGGTTAAATGTTCAGCTGCTAACCAAAATGTCAGCAGTTTCAACCCACCAGCTGCTCCTTGGAAACACTATGGGGCAGTTCTACTCTGTCCTATAGGGTCGCTGTGAGTCGGATTTGACTCGATGGCAACGGGTTATTATGTTCTGGAACCCTGGTGACATAGTGGTTAAGAGTTCATCTGCTAACCAAAAGATCAGCAGTTCAAATCCACTAGCTGCTCCTTGGAAACCCTATGAGGCAGTTCTACTCTGTCTTATAGGGTCGCAAGAGTCAGAATCAACTGGACAGCAACAGGTTTGTCTTTTTTCTTTTTTTTTTAACCTTCCAGGAAAGAAGCCCTGGTGGGACAGAGGTTAAAGTGATTGACTGCTACTGGGGTTTTAAAAGCTTGCAAGCAGCCACCTAAGATGCATCAATTGGTCCCAACCACCTGGAGTAAACGGCATGAAGAAGACACAGGGAAAGTATTAGCCCAAGAGACAGAAAGGGCCACACAAACCAGAGACTTTACCAGCCTGAGACCAGAAGAACTAGATGGTGCCCAGCTACCACCAGTGACCACCCTGACAGAGAACACAGCAGAGTCCCTGATGGAGCAGGAGAGAGGTGGGGTACAGAACTCAAATTCTAGTAAAAAGACCAGACTTAACGGTCTGACTGAGACTGGAGGAACCCTGGAAAGCATGGACTCTGGACTCTCTGTCAGCCTAGAACTAAAACAATTTCTGAGGCCAACTCTTCAGACAAAGATTGGACTGGACTGTGGGACATAAAATGATACTCATGAAGAGTGTGCTTCTTAGCTCAGGTAGATACATGCAACTAAATGGGCAGCTTCTGTCTGGAGGTGAGATGAGAAGGCAGAGAGGGTTAGGAGTTGGTTGAATGGACATGGGAAATCAGGGGTGGAAAGGAGGAGTGTGCTGTCACAGTATAGGGAGAGCAATTTAGGGTCACATAACAATGTATGTATAAATTTTTGTATAAGAGACCAACTTGAAATGTAAACTTTCACTTAAACTAGAACAACAAACATACAAACAAAAAAAAGTGATCGACTGCTAACCGAAAGGTCGGTGGTTTCAAACCACCAGTGGCTCTATGGGAGAAAGATGTGGCAGTCTGCCTCCGTAGAGATTTACAGCCTTAGAGACCCTATGGAGTTGCTATAAGTTAGAATTGACTTGATGGTAGTGGGTTTGGGGTATGTTCTAGGCGTTATATTAGGCACTGAGGATGGAAATGTTTAAGACTGGGCACCTACTTTAAAGAAAGTCACAGGTTGGTGTGAGTGACAAACTTAACTTCAAGAAAAGGGCAAAAGTTAGGAAGCGGCATCTGAGCTGTTTTAAAGGATAATTTGGGGTTGGCCAGATATTTGAGGAGTGAGCAGGGATGGAGAGACGCCGAGAAAACTCAAGAGCGAAGGGAGAGGAAATGGAAAACAGTTCAGTAGTTGGACACATTTGGGAAAGTGATGGGGATGAGAAAGGAGATATCTCCAGGGGCTAAACCATAAAAGGTATTACATGCTTTGCTAAGGAATCTGAACTGTCTTCTACAGGGGATGTGTGAGTCAATGAAGGAAGGACTTTAATTTGAGAAATGACACAATTACTTGGAAAGAGCATGCTGGGGCACGGTGGAAGATAAAGGAAAAAAGCAGAATCATGATCAATAAAGCAACTATCTCATAGTTCATGTAACAAATAATGAGCAATTTTAAATAAGGGCAATGGCAGTGAAACGGGAACAGATTTGAAAATTAAGAAGGATGTCAGCTACACAAACCATAACTCCCTCACATCCTGTGCCTGTGAGGTTAGTATGTTGTGTTGGTATTGTGTTTACATCTCAGTCACCTTCAAAAGTACAGAAATTGTTATTTTATTTATCTTTGTATCCCTGAAATGTAGCATTATGCCTGGCTCCCAGTAAATAATCAATAAACATTTGTTGAAAGCATGAGTAAATACATGCTACCTCATGGCCAGTGAATCTTTACGATCCAAACGGTTAACCAAAGATCCTTCTCTCTCACCACTATGGACCTTCTGAAACTTAGTACTAAGTTAAAAAGAAAGACCTTCTCAGACAAAGGAGGACTATCAGATACAGTGTTATCAGAGTAGAAGGGGGAAAACGATCAATTTTGTTTGTGAGAAAGAAGAAGAAATAGGATTTCCAGAGATGGTAACATTTGGAAGACAAAGTAAGGGTATATATACTATTCACAAGGTTTCCACTGGCTAATTTATTTTCAGAAGTGGATCACCTACTATTATGAGGATGGCGTTGGACTTGGTAAGGTTTTATTCTATTATACATAAGGTTGCTATGATTTGGTGCCGACTCGACAGCTCCCAGCAACACAACATATACTAGGCAGAAGACAGCATGTGCAGAGGCATAAAAGAGGTGGTATATTTAGGAAACATTAAGTTCTGTTTCAATATTCAAATTTCTAGCTGAAAAAATAAAACAGAAACACTAAAACATATTGTATACAGTTAAAAATATACATACTTTTGATAACCAAATTTGATGATGATGTCCATCAATATTATTTCCTTAATTTTTAAAACAATATACATACTTACCATTTTGTTAAAAATACATATATACTACATCTAGCTAGCTCCCAATATATAAATGAATTATTTTCTAAAAGTTTGGTTTTTAAAAATTGGTTATTTGCTATAGAAATACGTTTTCCCAGAAAAGCAAATACTAATGATTAACCATGTTAGCCAAGCCCATGGTCCAGTATGTGCATTCAGTCATCAAACATTTATTTTTTAAATAAACAGATTAACATGACCAATTTAAGACTTAGCCTTTTTATCGGAGTTTTGAAATGAATACAACACAGAACATAAAAACCCATTGCCGTCAAATCAATTCCGACTTATAGCGACCTTATAGGATAGAGAAGAACTGTCCCATAGGGTTTCCAAGGCTGTAAATCTTTACGGAAACAGACTGCCACATCTTTCTCCTGCAGAGCAGCTGGTGGGTTCGAGCAGCTGAGTTTTGGGTTAGCAGCCAGGAGCTTAACCACTGTGCCACACAATTTTTTTCTTAAAAAAAGAAATATACTGCTTCATCAGTATCTAAAAAATACATAACTCCTAGTAGATAAAATTTAGCATCTTCACATGAAATTTCTTACCTGATAAGCACTTCTACCAGAGACCACGCTCCTTTCATGCAAGTTGGACACTGAAACAACTCTAAGTAATATCTTGACATGGCTAGGGACTTCCAAGGAGGATGTAGGTGAAGAAGAGCTGACAGTATATGAAAGTATCGACCAGAAAACGTACCCATGTTATCCTATTATTTAAAAATAAACAAACAAATATAAACTACTATAGCTAAAAGTAGTTTCAGTGCATAATTCGGTCTAAAATTATAACAATATTGTTGGCCTAACTTTCTTACCAAATATATGTGTTTTTGACAAAGGATATCAGATGGAAGTATCATGTTTAGCTAATTAAATACTGTAATGGAGAGAGAGGTACACTTTAAAGATATATCTACACATTAGGAAATCCTAGCTATTGGGACCAACTTATATGAAATATCCATTTTCTTTTTCATGACTGTATCGAGTGAGAATAAAAGTTCCCAAATGTCAACTAAAAGGAACTAACGGTAAGAAACTTTTCATGGAAAATGCTTACTTATCACCAACATTTGTCCAGCAAAGCTTCTTCAGCCTATTATTTCATGAAATTGGCACCTTGATGAAGAACATGATTGGAATGCTACCTTTGAAAAGCCGCTCCTACTGATTTTCAGTATGTTCATTCTCTATGTATACTATGAATAAAGATGATAATTACCAATGTACTAAAGGAGTAATTTATCAAACGCCATTCTAGATCATTGTAATCTGATGTTTATGTTAGATACTTTACTCTCATGGAAAAAAATCAGATAATTTTTTTCCAAGAGAAAATTATCTTCAATATTCTATAAAAATAATAAGTTAAAGCACTCAGTTACTACCTAGTATACCAAAAACCAAACCAAATCCATTGCCGTTGAGTTGATTCCAACTCATAGTGACCCTGTAGGGCAGAGTAGAACTGCCCCATAGGGTTTCCAAGGAGTGGCTGGTGGACTTGAACCGCCAACCTTTTGGCTAGCAGCCAAGCTCTAACCACTGTGCAGTATAAATAGTAAATCATCCACCCTGGTTTCAAAAAGATAAAAATTTTAAAAACAGAAAAAAGTAGTAATAAATGTGTACCTCATTTCCTATTAAAATGAAAAAAAAAAACTGAAAAGAGAAAATAGACTGTAAACATACAAAAATATGGAGAAATGTTCACATTTGCACATTCCTTGAAAAACATTATACACCTTTACAACTCTGCGCTTACCTGTAGAATGTTCTCTAGAAGAGCATGAAGAAGGCATACAGGAGGAATATAATGTGCTTGCAAAGAGGAAAGTTCCTCAATTGCTTCTTTAAAAAACTGTCCTTCTATAAGGCTTTCAATTAAATTTAATACACCTCTGGGAAATTCAGCATTTTTAACCTAAAAAGGAAAGATTCTATGATTCAAAGAGAAGAAGAGTAAAATGCACATCCAGAATCAGGAGTTTTAATTTCCTCATCTGTAAAATGCAGATAATTCCTGCCCCTACTACTTCATAGAGCTGTTATGTGGTTCGAAAAGGATGATGTATATGTATGTGTTTTACAGCTATAAGGCACTGCAAAAACAATTATTAACTGCTATATTTATTATTCTCTGTTGCCTTAAATAATACTTCCAAGAGAAAACTTTTAAAAGGAATTTGGAGAGTTTGGCTGATACTGAGGAGAACTTGGCCAGAGCTACAACTACCCTGTTAAATTCTTTTTTTGATTTTTTTAAACTTGCAAATAAATTATGCCTATTAAGATATACTTAGAATATTAGGATATCATCAAACACTATCAATATTTACAAAAATTGACAATTACTATGTTGTTGTTGTGTGCTGTCAATTCCAGCAGAGAAAACTGCTATAGTGTCATAAAATCACACTGGGAGTGTGCATTCATATAGCTCTAAGAGTTCTACAAAGTACATTTACATTGGTAAAAATATTTTTAACAATAAAATGAAAGTTACCAGTTGAGTGAATGATTAGAGTCAAAAATACTCTGTAAGACTATATGGAATAAAACAAATAATTTTAAAGGAATGAATAGTGATATAAAGGAAATAATATACTTTAGTAAATATTATATTAAAAAATTTTCAGGTAGTAACTCTTATAAAATGTGACCGCAGGGAGGGATACATACCTCACCTGCCATGAGCACAAGGTAAGTTTTTAATACCTGTGGTCAGTTTTTACTACTATATGGAAAAAAAAAAAATTTTTTTTTTTGCAGGTTTGAGAGAACAGTATTTTTCTTTTTCTGATTAGAGAAACTACCTTTCAAATTTGACAGAAAGCGTTGTTGTACAGATACCGCATTTCATTATATTAAAATAACCAAAAATAACAAAACCAAAACCTTTTGCTCCCGTTACCACTTCCACTCCAAGTCCCTTACCTCCACATTGTATAGTGGTTGTTTATCTGCTATAATGCAACTGTATCTGACAGCCTACAAAAGAGCAACCATTTAAAGAAAATCAAACATTTTTAGGTCAAAAAATACATTTCAGCTTACAAAGCATAAAACCTTGGCCAGACTTACAAAACAGACTCAAGAGCACATACAAGCTGTAATTAACCTGATAGTCATGTTTATTCAGACTACTGACTTCTATCATTTTAGGGTAACAGAACTTTAATGAGTATGAAAGTTTCCCTATTTTTCCCTTCTAAGTTAAAATAACTTAAAAGGTAAGGTCAGATTCACTTTGAAGACCTGAAGATATCCATTGTCTTTAGTTTTTTAATAATCAGAAATACATGCAGAGAATATTTTGTATAAGGGTCCATAGAAGAAAAAAAATGCCAGTATGTTTTCTATATAGTCACATCTGAAGTGTCACCATCTTTCACTATTATTTACTTTATCATGTTAAAATATATATATTACATAAAATTTGCCATTTTAATCATTTTTAAGTGTATAATTCCACGACATTAATTACATTCAGTGTTGTGCAACCATCACCACTGTCTCTTTCCAAAACCTCCTTATTACTTCACAATACTATGTGCTAGTAAGGGTGTGGAGCAATTTGAACTCTCAACACGTTGTTGATGGGAATGCAAATGATACAGCCATTTTGGAAAACAGTTTGGCAGTTTCTTATGAAGTCAAACATAGACTGATCATACAACCCAGCATTCTCATTCCTGAATATCTACCCAAAAGAAATGAAAACATGTTCACACAAAAATCTGTAAGTGATTGCTTATAGCGCTGTGGTGAGATTAATTACTTTTGTGTGTGGCCTTTCTAGCCATGAGCCTATAACTCCCACCCAGGTGATTATGTGATAGGGTAATTGTTGCCCATCAGGGGATTGGTCAGTTTTGCCTTAAAAGAGAGCCAATTCCAGAGCAGAGAGAAAAGCCCACCACCACCACCAAGGAAGGAGAGACCTGCAAGAGATGGCACAGTGGGCTTCCCGGCCCATGGAGCAAGAAAACTGAGTGCCTCTGGGCAGAGACTGAGGGCCAGGGAGAAGTCTACGCCTGACCCATGAATTTGGGACTTGCCAGCCTCCACAACTGCATAAGCCATTTCGTTTATATGGTCTGTGAGTTCTGAGATGTTGCAGCAAATTAGGGAACCCAAAGACAGGAGGGAGAGTACCGAGGCTAGAGGGAGTAGTTGATGTTAGAGATGATAGCGTGGTGCAGCAGCTTGGAAAAGTAAGACATTAGGGACATCTTTAACCTCTGCCTCAGAGGGACTAGGTTTGTGCTGATCCTTATAAAAGAAATTATTCGTTTAAGTGACCTTAATTATTCATAACGGTCAAAAACCATAAACAACTCAAATATCCTTCAACTGGTAAACTGACAAGCAAATTATGGATACTCCTTATAGTGGAATAATACTAAACTCTAATAAAGAGCTAACTACTGATACAACCAGCATCAAGAATGAATTTTAAATGCATTAGGCTAAATCAGGGATTGGCAGACATTTTTGGCTTTGTGGGACATTATGTATGCTTTGCAAATACTCAGCTCTGCTGCTGTGAAAGCAACCATAAACAATGCATAAATACATGGGCATGGACAGACTTGGCCAGTGGTGGGCTTGCCAACCCTTGAATTAAATGAAAAAAGCTAGACTCTAAAGGAAACATACTGTAGGAATAGGTAAAACTATAACAGTAAAAAAGATCAGTGGTTGCCAAGGGCTGAAAGAGGGGGGAAAGGTTGGCTACAAAGAGCATGAAGAAATTTTTAAGGGGGTTGAAACTGTTCTAAATTTTGACTGTGGTAGTGGTTACTTGACAATATGTGTTTGTCAAAACTCATGAATCTATACATTAAAGTGGATGAATTTTGCTATCTGTAACTTGTACCTCAATTTTTAAAAATAGTAAAAAATTGAAGTAAAAAACCCCCAATAATATAGTTTTTCTTGTGTGTGTGTGACTATCCAATTAGTAATAATTATAATCAGTAATAATACCTAATATTGGCAGGGGAGTAAGAAAATAGATATATTACCATACACTTTAATGAAAGTGTAAATTCCTCTTTGGAGGACATTTTAGCAGTCTGTACCAAAATTTTCAATGTGCTTATCAGAATCAGCAATTCTACTTCTAAGAATTTACTTTAAGGGGATTGTCTCCTAAGTCTACAAAAACATATGTTCAAGAATGTTCGCTATAGGATTGTTTGTAACGTAAAAAACAAACACACAAAGAAAAACCCAAACTGGGAAACGCTTAAATGCCCCTGAATATTTAAATAATTTGCAGTATCAGGATATGGAATATGCAGCTATTAAAGAATAAAAAGACACACACATACTCTCTCTCTCTCTCTCACACACATACACACACCATATTTTTACACAAATAATGGTTGCCTTCTGTGTTTGCCAACCGTGCCCTCCCCCAAGAGGTTCCCTCACAAGCATCGCCATGACAATCCTCTTCCACATGTTGCTGTAAAAAAAATCAGCACAGCACGCTTATGAAAATACTTCAAGAGGGAAGGGCATGGCAGGCAAACAAACACAGAAGGCTCGAGTTATTTGCGTAAAAATATAGTAAACAGCCATTAAGCTGTCTACAATACATACACAGTTTTTTAAAAAAAGTTATTGAAAAGTATATATGCTATGATGCAATTTTGTTTGTATATATATTTATACTTATAGAGGAAGATTAAAATTTTGTAAGACTTATCAATTAATAAAAATAGTTACCTCAGGGAAATGAGATTGGGGGCACTTTTAAAAACCTATGGTTATGACTACTTAATTTTTTAAATAAACAAGTATTATTTTCACAGATAATTTTAAGTTATTTTTAAAGTTGTGCTTCCCAAGATGATTCTTCAACAATTTGAAAGGAGTTTTATGACATTTTATTTTTAAATAACCCAGGAGAAGTCAATTCAAAGAGTATCAAAGAGGTGAGAAGATACTAAGATTCAATCACAAGATCAGCTAAGTCTTGATCAGCACACACCCAGGGACAATGTAACCAACACCATACTTTGACGGTTTGAATAAATCTAGACAATTATGCTTTCACATGTAGAAAGACACAGGATTGTGAAGTGCTACAAATTAAAGATCTTATTAACATGAAGAAAAGTCTCAAAGAGAAATTGTAGCTGTTGATGGAATGGTATATTGACAAAATCATTTTAGAATTCAAGTTAAGAGTATATAAGGCCTTAAACATGTTTATACATTTTTGTAATCTAATAATTCTCATAATTTAAAAAAAAACCTTCAGGTTCAACAAAACTATCCATTACAGCAGTACTTATATTGGGACAAAACTGGAAATAGGCTAAATAGCGAATAACAGAAAAACTGTTAAATACATTATTACAATTTAACATATACAGATTATACACTCTTAATAAAATTACCAAAATGATCATTGTGAAACAGCTAAACTGACTCTAGAAAAATAAGGAAGACAAACCACTAGGGAAATTCTGGAAATGAATAGAGAGAAATACTAATCACACTTTTTTTTTCACCTATCAGATTAGCAAAAATCAAGAGTTTAATAAATGTCCTGGTGAGGAAACAGTTGCTCATATATATTTACCGTGAGAAGGATATCTCCCTCAAAAAATCAGGATACTGACCACAATCCTGAATCCACATTTATCTCTTCTACATCAAAAAGAATTTATTAAGGAGTATCTTATATACTGAAGGCTTATTACTGTTATTGACGGCAGCCTTCAACTATCCTATTTCTTTAAAATGTGCTTCAGCTTGGCACCTTAATTTACAAAGGTAGTTACTGTCTAAATTGATTTAATGTTTTTCTTATAGAACTAAAAGTCTTAGATATGTGTATCATGAAAATTATTTTTTAAATGAGAAAATAAGATTTTTTTCTTTAAATGAACTAAATAATTTCAGTGGCCTTAAAACCTGGCCTGAAAACCCTATGAACTATGAATTCTTTAAAAATGGATACATTATGTCTTAAAAAGACACATCATGTAAAAGTAGAAAAGTATAATTGAAAAATGATACTCAATATGATAGTCACTATATTACCTTATCTTGTAATTCATAAAATATTCAATATTTAAGTAATTTTAACTTCAAAGTGGATACTTAAATTCAAAATAGTCTGTCTAAATAAGTATTTGCTTAATGAATCCAAGCTGTATAGCAGCATAAACTCAGTTCCATTGTACACTATCAAATGCAACCCAGGTACCTGATTATCCACGTTATTTTATAAATGAAATCCTCTTTCAGAAACAACTTCTAAATGCCACAGTAAGCTCTGAAATTCTGGTATCATGAAAATATACCAATGATTTATAGCTATTATTAAAAGTCCATATCATACATTTAAATTATTAAATTTGATATAAGATATGGTTTTGTAATGTACAAGCTAAAGGCACTGTCTGTGAAAATAAAATGAATTTAACCTACGGCAAACACATAATTTATCTGACATTAAAAAAAAAACCAATGCTGTCGAGTCAATTCCGACTCATTGCTACCCTAAAGGACAGGGTAGAACTGCCCCGTAGGGTTTCCAAGGCTATAATCTTTACAGAATCAGACTGCCACATCTTTCTCCCACAGGGCGGCTGGTAGCATCGAGCAGCCAACCTTTTGGTTAGCAGCCAAGTGCTTTAACCACTGTGCCACCAAGACCCTCTGTGACATTACTGAGGTATAAATAGCAGAGATGCAGTATATTTACTAGATGTCCAAGTACATAACTGTTCATAACAGATTAATGAACTAAGAACATTATTTTAAGACATGTTAAACATAATAAGAAATCATATATTTTGGTTACATTAGGGAAGGACAGGAAATTATACAAAATTTTTATTATGCTAAATTTTACCTGAGCTCTATATATGTGCTTCTTTAAGGCATTTTTTACTTCCATAATTTCCACATCAGTCTTGATAACTTTGGTTTTTACTTTTTTGGTATAATCAGCAAATACAGAATTCTTCACTTCTTTCTGTATACATGTAAAAGAACTTTAGACAATGTACTAGTGTCAACACAAATGATAAATATCACAATGGACAATACAACTCAAGATGAACACATTTATACAATGTTAACTACAGCAAATCTTCATAAATCATATTAGATCAAGACTGTATACTGAAAGAAAAAGGGAAAAAAAAAAAGCAAATATTTTAATTTGGAAAGTTTTACCTTATATTTACATATGTACTTTCTTAAGGTACTATTCATTTTAACCTGTTCCAAATCTTTCCCAAACCTCTTTTTTCTGTTGTTGCCATGTTCACACAAAATAAGATTCATTTATTTACCTCCGTCATTTTTCTGAAGGTCCTTCTGAATACATGTATATAAAAATGCTGTGGTTAAAATCATAAAATAATGTCTTACTCTAAGAAAAATTAACTCAGGAAGGATTCAATTTTAGAGACAAGCTATCTTATTAAACATGGTCTATATTATACCAGGGAAGAGTAAGACAAAATTAAAATTTAGAGTAGTATGTAATATGTAATCTACATACATATGTAGTTTTAAAGCATTTTCATTTTTAAAAATTCAGCTCGTTTTTTTCATTTTTGTTACATTCAGGCAAAATAAAATTCATTTGAATATTTTGGTTTTTAGCTCAAAATTCTTTGTGCATGCACATAAAATACTTCTCACTGTAGACTAAAGTGAATCATAACATAAACCATGACTAGCACACCAGATCAACTAAAGAAGATTTCTTCATAAGACATGCAGGTTATATTTAACATAGCCAGTAGTCATAAAAATCATATTACATGTTTAGATTATACTGTGGAAGGGTCAGGGAAAAAAAAAATGTTTATCTTACAAAGGTTTACCTGATCTCTATATAGGTACTTTCTTAAGGTACTTTTGATTTTGTCACGTTCGACGTCCTTCGTAGAATCTTCCTCTTGTTCTTTTTCTTTTTTGCACCTTTTTCTCAAAATATAACTCCTCTGAATATCTTCATAATTTTTAACTTCTTTCTACATGTATTTAGACCACAGTTAAACAAACCTCAACATAAATGTGTATGTCACCACATCCAAATCAACTCCAAAAGAGTCTGACCTACAAAACATGCATACTACTACAAAAAGTAGTAGACCTACATACAACAGGAAATATCATCCACTGTTGTAGTGGCTATAAATTAGTAAAACATTTTGGAAAACAGTTGGGCATTGTCTAGTACAGTTGAACATGCACAGTCCTTGTGACCCAGCAATTATACTCCTAGAAATATACCATGAGCCAGAGAAACTCTTAAACATACACCAAGAGTCATGCAAAATAATGTTCACACTGTTCATAGCATAATTGCTCATAATTCCAAAAACCAACCAACCAACTAAATAGACAAGAAGAAATTCAAATGCTTATCAATAGTAAAATGGATAAATATTATTGGGCATGGTCATACAATGAAAGATAATACACAATAGCAAAAAAAAAAAAAAAGTCACAGAAGACTACAAATAGTATGAACTCAAAAAGTTCAATAACAGGCAAACCTAAACAATATATTGTTGGGGACAAATGCATAACTGGCAAACTATAATGAAAAGCAGGAAAATAATTAACACAAATTCCAAGATACAGCATACTTCTGGGAAAGAGGGAAAAAGGGAGACGCAGTTGGGAAATAGCACGTCAGTTCTTAAGGAACTGGTAATGTTCTGTATCTGAATCTGGCTGGTGGTTATAAAAAGTCACTTTTTAAAATTCTTTTTAAAACTGTACACACAAACTTTTAAAAATGCTTTACCATGTATATTTAAGAAGAAACAATTTCATGAATAACATATCTGGTAAATTTAGAAAAGGGCCTAAAATCTGAATTATTTTTAGTTTGGAAAGTTTTACCTGATTTCCAGATGTGTGCCTTCCCATGGAATTTCTTGTTTTGACAAATTTCAAATCTTTACTTGAATCTCTGAATTTTTCTTTTTTTGGATGTTCAGTCAAAATAGAACTAATATTAATATCTTCATCATGATTTTGCATTTCTTTCTGCATGTTTGTAAAAATACTTCAGTTAGACAACAGATTAAATATAGCCTTAACACAACCAATGCAAGTCACAACAGAAAAATCCACTCAGGAAGGTAGGTTTTCTAAGATATACATATGAGATTAAACATAGCAAAGCCTTGTGAATTATATCATAAAGTAGAAAAATGCAGATGTTTCAATTTACAAAGTTTTATGTCATGTTTACACATATACTTAGTTTAGGTACTTTCATTTTAATAATTTAGGTTTTTTTGGTGTCTCTGCTTTTTCTCCCTTTTGATTTAGTCAAACAGAATGTGATTTGTCTTCATCATTTTATTTTCCCAAATGTACGTAAAAATAGTTTAGGGTGTAGATCAAATAGAATCTTGCCATTATTAGGTACATAAAACAAAACATCTCAAGATAATATTTTTACAGGATAGTATTAAATAGTATTAAACACAGCAAGGAGCATTATAAACCATTATATTTATTCATTGTATTATGTAATTCATTAAAAAGATAAAAAAATTTTACCTGAATTCTATATATATCCTCGAGTTCCTCTTAATTTTAATAATTTCCACATCTTTCATGAAATTTCTATTTTATTTTTTCCCCATGTTCAAAGCCAAATTTAATAATAATATCATTATTTTACATTCCTTTCTGTACATAAAAATACTTTACACTGTGGATTAGAGAATCTCAAATTTACAAGGCATATTTCAGCAAATACATCAACTCAAGGAGCCTCTTGTGAAGCTATGTAAATACAGTTAATCATAAAAAGTAATCTTGTAAGTCACACAATAATCAACTGTACTTTGGAAGAGCAAGAAAAAAATACCAACATATCTTAAGCTTAGAATGTTTTACCTAAACTCTCCACACATGCTTTTTAAAGGTATTGTTCAGTTTAAGAATTTCCAAACTGCTACTAATATGCTCTTTGTAAAATTTTTGACATGTCCAGTGAAAGCATAACTTTTTAATTTCTTTTCAGTCACATATAAACATATTTTAGACTGCTGTTGTTGTTGTTGTCATTGCTAAATTAGGCAAATGATAAATCAAAGAGTCTTCTTTATTAAACACTGATATGATACTGAATATAATAGAACATTAGCTCTTCTAGGGTAGAACTATACTGCCTTTTTGGTTGCTGTTCCTGTCTGAAAAATTTTACTTGAACCACATATATGCCTTCTTGAGGTACTTTTACCATTGCTCAAGTTCAAAGTCCTTCCTATTTTTTGTTGTTGTTTTGTTTTCCATGTTTAATCAAAACAGAATTCATTTGCGTACTATTTTGTAAATTATTGTTCTATTGTTGTTGTTAGGTGCCATGAGTCAGTTCCAACTCATAGCGACCCTATATACAACAGAACGAAACACTGCCCAGTCCTGTGCCATCCTCACAATCATTATGTTTGAGCCAGCCTATTGCTGCTGCCTGTGTCAGTCCATCTCGTTGAGTGTTTTCCTCTTTTTCACTGACCTTCTACTTTACCAAGCACGATGTCCTTCCCCAGGGACTGATCCCTTCTGTAATAAGTCCAAAGTATGTGAGACGTAGTCTTGCCATCCTTGCTTCTAAGGAGCATTCTGGTTGTACTTCTTTCTTCCAAGACAGATTTGCTCATTCTTTTGGCAGTCCATGGTATATTCAGTGTTCTTCACCAATACCACCATTCAAATGTGTCAATTCTTCTTCAGTCTTCCTTATTCATCGTCCAGCTTTTGCATGCATATGAGGTGACTGAAAATACCATGGCTTGGGTCAGGCACACCTTAGTCTTCAAGGTGACATCTTTGCTTTTTAACACTTTAAAGATAGACCTTTTGCAGCAGATTTGCCCAATGCAATGTGTCTTTTGACTTCTTGACTGCTGCTTCCATGGGTGTTGATCGTGGATTTAAGAAAATGAAATCCTTGACAACTTCAATCTTTTCTCCGTTTATCATGATGTTGCTTATTGGTCCAGCTGTGAGGATTTTTGTTTTCTTTGTGTTGAGGTGTAACCCATACTGAAGGCTGTGGTCTTTGGTCGCTAGGAGTCGGAACTGACTCAAAGACAATGGGGTTTTGTTCTATGTGCAGGTAAAATAATTTAGACTATGAATTATAAATATGCATATTGCTAATAGCTAAGAAGAATGCTCTATAAGATATGCATTTTACATTAAACATACAGAGGAGTTTTAAGCAATTACCATGTACTGGGAACATGCTGTGTATTAGAAACTGTGTGATATTTCCAAATGCATATGTGTATTATTTCAACAGGAGTTCTGAACAAGAGATATAAGGCCATTTCCTAATTTGTTCAAGCCACAGAATATAAAACGCAGAGCTGGGTTCAAATACTAGCTCTCTGATTCCAAAGTTCCTATTATTTCGTTCATATAAAATGCTTCTCAAATAATTTTGTAAGAAGAACCAGAAACGTATTTTTTAGTCTGTAAATTTCACCTGGTCTCTACATACAGTCTCCCTTAAGGCATCTTTCATTTCAACAAATTTCATATCTTTCCTGGAGAATCTTTGTTTTTTTTTTTCTTGATTACTATGTTTAGTCCCAAAAGAACTGGTTTGGGAATTTTCATCATTCTGAATTTTGTTTTGTATCTAAAAATGGCTTAGGCAATTAAGTATAATTTCAATATTATGCACGTCTTATGGTATTCAACTTTATCTATAATTACATAATATTTTGTTAGTCAAACAAGTAGGTAGAATGCACCCTCCTAACCTGAAAGTACCAACACTGGTAAAATCTTTCAAAGAAAAAAATCATTACAGCAAAAGTTCTGAATAATAAAATGATTTCCACATTATCTCAAGAATAACTAATGCTTTGTTGATCTAGTTTAACAATGAATCCTTTTTAAGAATAACCAAGAACAAAAATGTTTTTTCTAGTACCTGTTCAAATAAAAGTTATAATCTAGATTTTTTAAAAGTCTGATTACGGACAGATTACTTCTCAGCTTATTTTTATGTTTTTTATTGATAAAACGTCTCACTTGCAAGTATACCACACACAGAGAGGAAAAGAAGACTAAGCAAATCAAATTCACAGTTCTTATTTTACTTGGATAGCAATCAACAACAATTATCTTTATCTAACTCTTATCTCAAACATTTCAATTGCTCTTGCCAGGAGATCCAAACTGAATTCATAAACCACCCACCAATAATAAAAAAATACTAGTGCATGTACACAGATGTACAATTCTAGAAGCTTAGCAATATAAAGAGTTGGGAACAAGGGTGAGACTATAACAATTCCCAAAACGTACTTATAAAAAGGTGTTCAGAGATTCATTACCCTTACACAAAATGACTGGAGAATCACTGTCTTTCTAGGCAACAATTACGATAAAGCCAAAATGTGGTGAGGCCTATATCTCTGGTTCCCTTTCACCTGTACTGGCTTCCTATGTGGATTATGAGGGCCCTTTAGCAGGCTGCAATCCTGCAACTGGACAACAATCCCTGGGAGCAGTTGATTGAATTTCTTCTTCAGTTACTCGGAAAGCAAAATAGAAAACAAAGAAAAATAAATTCTTTTCCTCCTTTTACTCCTGGCATCAAAGGAAGAATTACTCTGAACTTACAGACCAAGGATCTGAACTGGTTCAAACTGGTTCAGTCACGGCCAGGGCAACAAAACTGGAACATACCTGAATTTATGAAATTTGAGTGATCTGGAATGATAACTGTAATTGGAAAAATTATGGCTCAAAGCCCAGGAATGGGAGACTCAGAAGGAGCCTGATTCATGAAATTGGATTACAGGCAGCTTTATGGACAGTGATACACAATCAAAGAGGTGTAGCTGGCTACCATCTTTGAAAGGGGCACCACTGTTTCCACTTTGCTCAAAATCTGACAGGCAAGAGATCTGGCCGCTCTACAACGCGTACACGGCCATTGTTTTCTAAGAGGGAGATTAAGTTTCCAGCAGGGGTTTGACCTGTAATTTTTCCCATTCCAGTTATTGTTCTGGTTCACTCAAATTTTGAAAATTTGGGTCTGTTCCAGTTTCGCTTCTTCAGCCATGACTGAACCAGGAAGAACCTGTTTGAAGCCCTGGTACAAACAACAACTCTCCTTAAGGAGAACTTGTAGAGTGAAAAAAGTCAGTTTCTGGTTTTAAATTTCACATGACTGACAATGGGAGGATAAATCCACAGGTCCAGATCACCAAATAATGTCTAAGACACTGAATAAATTAATCGCACATAGATTTTAGTTACACAGACTATGCAAGAGAAAATACTATTATCATTAGTAACTAGGCAAGAATATATAGCTTTCTAATCCTGAATATATCGCTTTCAAATCCTGAATATAAGGAGCTCTGGTGGTGAAACGGTTAAGCGCTCAGCTGCTAACCAAAATGTTGGGGGTTCCAACCCACCCAGCAGCTCCATGGGAGAAAGACCTGGTGATCTTCCATGAAGATTACAGCCTAGAAAACTGTATGGGGCAGTTCTACTCTATCCCATGGGATCACTGTGAGTTGAAAACTGACCCAATGGCACATAATAACACAATCCTGAATATATTTACTTATACATTCAAGTGCTATATAGCCATCAGTGAAATAGGATGTATGAGACAAGTACTCTACATAAGTTAACTATGTGAAAATTATAACCTGATACATAAGCTATGACATTCATAAGATTTTTAAAGTAAAATAATTTATTCTTTAGAGAGCTAAACAAATGATCTACACATAATATTTTCCAATTAGCTACTTTATCATATATATAGGAATTATTTTATTTATAAATATTGATTTTTTATTTCTTATTTTTTATAAATATTTCTTTCATGCCAAGTATGTACTGAACATTGTGTTAAGTGTTTTGTCTCCCTGTATAATCTAGGAAAGCGGGCCTGTCTAGTCTGTTTTATATAGTATAATGCTATGTTCCAAATGGATGACCAAAAACTTAACTTACTCAGCAAATTATTCTATTATCTAGGAGTAAAGCAA